CATCCAGTTGTTCGGCAGCTGAGATGCAGTCTGGAATGGATCTTTTCTGTGTCTGTTGTCTATAATGGCTTTTAGGGCTGGCTCTTCTTCCAACACACAGTACAAATCCTCTGGTAACTAGTACCAGCCACACAACAAAAGCCAGCTAAATCTGGTGTAAGCTCGGGAATCGATGACTGCTTGCCCTTTTCTCAAATTCAAGTCAKCAAGTGTCTCCCAGCCTTGCGTTCTGGGCAGAAGCCTTGGGGGCAGCAGTTCTTCTCAGTTCCTATGGACACTGATACTACCCCAAAGAGTGAATTCCCTCCCTCCATGCAGCCTGAGCATTGTGAACCAGATATTTTCACCAGTCACTTTCACTCACTGCTTTATACACAGAAGAGAGCTCAGGCTGAGCAAAATTCCTTTCACAGACATTAATGAAAACATTTAAGGCTGACTGTGCTCATCTTCAACAAAACTTGGCTTCAGAAATGTCTGCAGTTACAGCATGCCAGCTGCAATTCGCGTTACTTTTCTTTCAAACTAAAAGGAAGGTGCCCCGTGCATGTGCAATCCATCACTTGCACGCCTCTGCCCCTCKGCTGGTTTCTTCCCAATACCTGCAAATCTGTCTGCCCTAGCCACTCTCTCGTGGTGCTTGTGTCGATTAAAAAATGCTTTTGAAGGCATTGGTGCACGTGTTTACCTAGGCAGCCTTTTGATGTTCCTCTCGCAGTTCCTGCATCTGTCAGCATCATGTTCCCCGAGCACCAGCACAGAGTTGATTCCAGAAGTCATCTGTCAGCTTACTCCATATCCTGTCCTTCACCTATGCATACAGCTTCCTCAGGGGTGTTAATATATGTAAAATAAAGTTAACATTTCCTGTCCTGGTAATAAAGATGAGTAAGTGGGAAAGAGAAGCCGGTGCAGAAACAAGATCCTTCTGTTTCTTCCATGGGATTTACCCGGTAGATGAAGATAGCAGAAAACAGGAATAGAGCTGAGAAGGGAGGTTGACAGAAGCGTGGGTTCATACTGAGAGGAGGAGGCTGCTGGCTCAGGCAAGAAAATATGGAACCACTCACAGACTGCAGCCATTGCTAAAATAATGAAGTGTCGCTGTGTGTTTGGCYGTTGCCAGCAATCTTACAGCCTGCACAGAGATACATCAGATCCTGAAGGATCCCCTGAGTCACTGAACTCAGATCCCTGGTATTGCAAAGAAACATCTTACGTAACTCCTTTCACAAGCAATTCTCATCCATTCCTAAAACTAATGCAAGTTTGTGTCCTGAGAGTCTATGGGAAAACTTCTGTAGAACTTCAGTCTGAAGTTGCCTTTAAGTAGAATTAACTAATTTAATAGATAACAGTTTATGCTTTATTGTTCCTGTGCTAGCAGCTTTGTTGACAATGCTTTTCTTGGGGTTTTTCCCCCAAAATATTTGCTAGAGTTCAGTACAAATGCTCAGAATCTAGTACCAGCCCAAGGCGCTTTTTATAGCAAAAAACGTGTGGTCACATCATACTGGCACAGACGGCTGCAGTCCTAGGAATGTTTTTTCTGAGACATCTCAAAATAACWAGATGATGAGTCGATACAAACTATCATAGTTCCACTCCGCCTCTGTTTTGCTAAACCATTAAAAGAAACTCATTATCCCTTGGTCACCTAAAATGGTCTGTCAGCTTTGAATCAGCCTGGAACGTGTCTTCTGTTCTCTTGGTGATCCTTCTCTTCCCTCCTACACCAAAACAAGTTTGTATTCTTTCTTAAATGAAGGTGTTCTTCTCACAATAGCAGCATCTGATGCAGCATAGGGTTAATCTCGGTGTATTTTATGGCTTGTAGATAATCTGYATAGGCAAGAACTTGGAGGGAAAATTCCCAGCTGTATACTTTTAGCATCCTTGCTGAGACCTGCCCATGGTATCAAATCAAAAACTGCAGCYAGTGACTTGTAGTGCTTCCATCTGAGATCTGCCAGCCTGCAGCACAGGAGATGCTCTGTGATTTCAGAAGAGTAAAGAACTTTCATATGTGTCACATGGGATATCCAGAAGCATGAGATTCTGTTTGAATAGGTAAGCAAAACCCAAACAAGAAGCAATAATGGAGCTATGGAGTACACTGGGGTGATCTGAGGCACTGAGGGGGTGTTAGGTAAGCAGGAAGGCAAAAGCCTTCTACAAGAACATGGGGACAGGAACTAACCTGGAGAGGCAGGGAATAAACACATTGCAACAGGTACYTCTGGTCTAACAAAAGTGCTGCTGATCCTGCCCACATATCCTCCACGGAGAAGTGTACACCTTTGCATCCTGTCAAAGCCTCCGGACATCCAGTCTGTGCTAAATCCCATCCTCACCGCCCCCAGAGAGAACATATCCCCGTGTTCACAGATCCTGTACTTTGATTCTGCTCATCTCTGGAATACCAACAGCACAGAGCGTGTCTCTGAAGCTTTACATCGGTGAAGTTCGAACTCGCACAAGTGTGGGGTGCTGTTCTGGATCCCTGCGGCTGCCACGGCAGGTGTTCGCTCCACATTTCCCGAGCCAGGGAGCGGTGGATGGCGAGTGCCCGCGGGCTGCTGCGAGCCCAGGGCTGCCGAGGGCTGGAACCCCCCGCGGGAAGCCGTGAGGGCACCGGCTGTCTCCCCGCCAACTGCGGCATCTCCTGCGTGTTAAAAGTTCACGCGTGTTTCGAAACCTCTTGAAGACGAGCCCTGTTCAGAGACAAAAACGTTCCTCGCGTTTTTGTGGGGTTTCTGCCCCCGCACAGGGCCCGGGGCTCTCCCGAGGAGGCCTCAGCCACCGGCTTCCATCGGGCTCGCATCATCCACGGTAAAGCTTCGAGGAGGAAGAGAAAAGAAAGGTGGGGAAAATATCACCGCCAAGAGGGTGACAATCCAAACGCTCCCTCACGGATCGCAGGGGGGGTTAGCGGAGGGGCTGAGCGTGTCCCCCTCGCTGTGGGAGCGGGGCTCTCCCCGGTACCGGGGCTGAGGGGGTACCGGGGCTGAGGCGATGGGTGCTGCCGGACAAGGCCGGGGCGATGGGTGCTGCCGGACAAGGCTGGGGCGGATCGATAGGTGCTGCCGGACAAGGCCGGGGTGGGGGCGATGGGTGCTGCCGGACAGGGCCGGGCAGGGGCGATGGGTGCTGCCGGACAAGGCTGGGGCGGATCGATGGGTGCTGCCAGACAAGGCCGGGGTGGTAGCAGGACCCGCCGTCGGGGGGAGGCGGTGGCAAAGAGCCGGCCCTGCCCGCTCCGTCGGGGCCCCGGTGCGGCTCCGCCTGGCGCAGGGCCAGCCCGGCGGCACACGGGTGCTGGAGAGATGGAAGCTCCCTGTCGGGATTGCCGTGCCTGTTGGGAAAGAGCGGAGCCCTAGCGCTGTGTTGGAGTTGTTTTTTGGTGGCACAGAGGGCAGAGGGAGGAGAACCATCAGCCTCCCCCGGGCCCTGCTCCCGCCTCGCCTCACGCGTCCCCGCGGCGGGCAGAGCCGGCCGAGGAGTCCCTGCCGCCACCGCCAGGGCTTCGCCGGCCGCGGGCTCGCTTTTTGCACTGTGTCTCTCCCGTATTATCCTCACGGGCCTCCTCTCCGTGCACATGGGGCTCCCCGAGCYGCAGCCCGGCCTGTGGGGGTGCGCAGCGGCCGCCCCCGGTGCCCGCCCGGCCGAGGTGCCCCGCCGGCTGCCCCGCCGCCTGGGGATGCGGAGGCACCGCCGAGTGCCGGGCTTCCTCTTTAGCAACCTCGCCGCTTGTTTTGCAGTGTGAGCTTGGTGGTTTTGTTGTTTTTTTGGTTTTTTTTTTTTTTTCCCGAAGGGGAGAGGGAAGGGGGGTAGTCTGGGTGTAAGGAGGGGAGAGGGGGAGAAGAGTGGAAAACGTTGGCTCTGTCCATGGTCAAAGTAATTCAGCTATAATCCCCCTTTCTCTTCCTCTCCTGGAGCTCTATTCATATTCTAATCACAGCTTTTCCTTCCCTAAACCAGCCACTTTTATCAGAGCCCTAGCTTTGCACTTTTACTTCCACTTCCAGCACATACAACCGCATGCAGAATAAGCAACTTTTTCCCGCCTCTGTCCTGCCCCACTCTCCCACCGCAATCCGCTAACTCGAAAAAGGATCCTCGCATCCTCGGACTAAATCTGGGAGGCGACACCAGTTTGAAAACGCGCCCGTTTGGTTCTTCAGTTCTCTTGGCAGTCGGGATCTCCCAGCCCCCTGCCTTCCGCCTGGTCCCACGGAAAGATCTCCGGGTCAGCCGCTCTCCGCTGCCAGACAAGCCGGTGGCGAGCGGCCCCCAGCCCGCCTTGCCCTCTCTCCCCGAGGCCCAGGGAGACGCACGGGAGTCCCTGCCACAGGTCTGCAGTGCCAGCATCGCTTACCGAGATACTGGCAACTTCTCTCTCCCCTCGCACCTCCCTTTTCTACCCACACACATCGTTCTTTTTTTCTTTTTTTTTYCCATTTTTTTTTCTCCAATAAACTAAGCTTACAAGATATTTGGGAAGCTGTACAGCTTCCAGTGCCATGTGCCCGCGAAGGATCCCAACCCAGAGCCCACCGGGAGGAGGAGAAAGAGGAGGAGGAGGGGAGCTCGGCCGCGCTGCACGCACACCCGGCAGCCCCAAAGAGCACAACCCCAAACCTACTGCCCGTTTGAAGATCTAAGCCAATTTTGATCTCGGTCTGTAATGAGCCAAGGACCTTGGGTGGGGGCTGGGGGAGGGAAGGGAGGAGTGGAAAGACCGCTGGAACTTTAAATAAGAAAAACGTTTCTAATGCTCTAATAGAAGAGGGAAGTCGAAGTGTTGGGATTGCGTAGATCTAAGGCCCCCCTTTTTGGAGGAAAGCTTTTCTTATTCAAAACAGCATCACAATGGGCTTCACATTGAGCCTTGCCACATCCCCATCTGAGTAGCAGCCATTCATCAGGCTGGCTGGCCTATCAATGACATTTCTCCCATCAGGGCTTCTATAAAATGATGCTTTTTCCCATGAAACATCCGCAAACATTTTGACGGGTCTGGCTTTGCCCTGCTGGATTACGGAGTGTCCCTCTCTCCCGCTCTACACCCCCCCCTCCCCAACTATCTGCTTCTGCCCTCCCTCCCCACCCCCTCGCCGCCACCCTGCTCCCTCTCCCCCGCGCATCTCTGAGACAGGGGCTCTGCACACCCCGGGACCTTGGGGCTCCCGTCCCGTCCATGGGAAGAGCATGCATTGCGGGTTGCTGGAGGAACCCGATATGGACTCCACAGGTAAGTTCCCCCCCCGCAGGCAGCGGGCTCCTTTCGCCCGTCAGGGAGGACTTTTCAACTTGACCGTGGCGGCAGCGGGGGGAGCCGCTCGCTGCACCGGCCTCTCAGGGAAATGAGCCCGGGCGTGTGCGGGGGAGCGGGGTGCGGGGGCCGCGCAGGGGCAGCTCTCGCTCCCGGGCTGGAGGAGCCCTACGGTTCCACTTGCAGATGCGATGGAGCAGAAGGTGGTTTTTCTTTTTGGCTTGGTTTTTTTCCCCC